TCCAAAGAAATGTCAGAAGGAGTCCGAACCACAAAAGAAGCGAGTATTCTCGGAAAAGTGGTTGCAGGAGGTGAGCTGGCTTCAAACAAATGATGAACGCACAGAGACGTGGAGGAGAATATGCCGCGAACATCCCACTCTAGCGGACAAAAACAGCGCCTTTTATATGTCCGCGAACGCGCGTTGCAACTTCTTATCTGGTGCGCGTCTTTTATTTTGACATTGAATGCGCACCTGCGGACCACTTATGTGCACCCCTGCATATAAACTTACAGGCAGGTGAATGTTGTATCTCTCTCATCGCCTCTGTTCTAATTAAATAAGCCCCTGAATTTAGTTTTTGGCACCTTATATGTTGTCGCCCAGCAGGATGATATGGTTTACTTCATGATCTTATTTGCATAAGGTAATTATGACTGCTGGAAATGTGTGAGCTTGAAAACAGAGGTGTATGTCTGTCTCTCTGCGTCTCTTCCTCTTCTCGCTATACCTGTGTGCCTTTAGATGTGGCCTCGGCAGCAGACATGGTGGCGGATTCACTGTTCAAAAGCAGGATAGGAAAGGAACAGAGGTAGAATGGAGAGAATATTAAAAGTGGAGCAAGGAAAGATATGAAGTCAGAGGAGGCAGTCAAGGGATGAGAGAAGGAAAGTAAGGGTAGAATGGGCGGGGGAGTTGTTTTTTTTCTTTTTCTAAATGCTGGCACCGTCTTGGACACCGTTTTTCACAGAAAGGAGGACGACACAAAAAAGAAAGAACACAGAGTGAGAAAGAAAGTCTGCTGAAACTGTGATGGACAGGCTGATGTTTGAAGAACATGATGAAATACTGTTTGCATTAACTCCCTCACTCTCTCTGTGCTTTTCCCCCCCATCAGGATTACACCACTACCTCTCTGAAAAATATTTCCCCTTGAATTTAAAAAAATAAATAAAAAAATACTTCCATCCCTCACCACTCATTATTAAAGAATCTCTGAAATCCTTCGTCTTTCTAATAAGTATTCTTTACAATCCCAGTTATCTTCAAAGTAAGCAAGTAAGACCTCTGCTCTTTCTTCTTTTTCCTCTTATGTATGCGATTGCTTTTTGCATTATTTTAAAATATCTTCAAAAGGGATTTTGTCCTCCTTCAAAGAGAAGAACGTATAAAACGTATGTAAAATATAATGGAATAAGGTAGGTGTGTGCACAGCTGGGAGGGACGGGGGAGCCAGACCTCTCCCTTCAGCTATTCCACTGGTGTTGCAGGCTCTTTCCCCCACCAGCACCATCACCTTACTGTGATGCTTCTTAAGAGGGAACAAAGTAAAAATAAAGAGCCTCTGTCACACACGCAAATCTTTTCAAACACGCTTCTGCTCTCATTTCAGTCTTAATTTCCCATGTTATTATACTTCAGTCACAACTCTGTACCCATCAAAAACTCCTTTGAATTATGAAATAAAATATTTTCATAGTGATATTTGTGAGTTTGTCAAGTTCGCCATCCTGATTAAATATTAATGTGCTATCATTCAGTGCCGTTTTCCTCATTACCTCCCAGTGTTTCGCCTGCAGATAATAGCACCATGTAAAACTTTGATGCACGCTGGCGCAATGAGAAGTCATATCAGCGTGTTCAACATGTTTTATATCTACTGCATGGGAACACTTTCAGAAGGTATACCATATTGTACAAATCCAGGTAAAATGTATGGCTGAGTAAACAGTTCTTGACGAGGTCTGATGAGCTTTGTGAGGCTGCAGGCACAACAGCGGTTTTAGGTAAAATGTCAAGATTAAAAAGCAGACAGACAGCTGCAAGCTTGAATAAGTGCTGCAAATTTTATGGTATCTCATCCACTTATACCCAGGAAATCTCACCGTAGGAAAAGTCAAGGGATCAACGGCATTATTAACATATAAGCTTTTGGGATTCATAAATATCCACAACCTCATGTGCGACACTAGATGACTGGCATTTATCACCATCAACATCAACGCCTCAACATCCACATTTTAAGAGGTTCAACTGGAAATCTGAACAAAAGAACACTGACCAAATTAACCACGTCGAACACTCCTCTTAAAAGTGCCACAACGTTTTTGTCCTTGATACAGACCTCAGAGAAGACACACCCAGACAATGCATTCAATGCACAGCCATTCATTAAAATCTGTGCTCCACATTTGGTGAGTGTTTAATATTTTATTCCAGCGTAATTTAGCAGTCAGCTGTGACCAGGTCAGTAATATATCCTCAAAGTTATAAGAAATAATGCAATATTTCAAGAAAGTTTGGGTTATGCACTGCATTTATGATGATACAGAAAAAAAAACATTATATTACATTATACTATTTACTCGAGTTTGTGACTGGACCTTGCAGACAGCAGCATCTATTAGTGCAAACCAAACTAAGCACATTTTGCATCTTTCTTTTCCAGACTTATAGTCTGGCAACCCAGATGAAGTGTGACTTTATTTACAGCAGCAGCATTACATAAATAGCATAAATCAAATGTAAGAACAAAAGAATAACATAAGTGCTTGACACTTAAAATTGACTTAGCCTTGTAAGTCTTCAGAAGCTGCACGGTATTATTACATAATAAAGCTGTCTGGAATGTTGTATCTTGGTTCAAGCTTTTAAACTAGTTACTTAAAGCCCTCCTTTTCCACCATGAAACTCCATCAGTAACATCCAGGCAGCATTTGCTCTTCCTTTTTACTGCAAGTGTCTCCTTTTTATTAGCCTGGCTGTACTTGGTGAAGTTAATCTGTTTTACGCTTGTGTTTTGTCAGACTAGTCTCCTTGTTTTGCCTGCTGGGAAGTGTAATTAAAAGGCACTACATCATTTATGTCATCATGGTATCATACATTTATATTATGATATAAATATGATACGGCACATGCCTGTCAATCAGTGAGCAAATGGGCATTCCTTCCCTTTTTTGAAGCATGTGACTTTTTCTCCATTTAGTTATTATTTCGTATAGACCGTCTCCTTTACTCCAGGGAGTAAAAAT